AAAAAAAAAAAAAATTAAAATCACGGGAGTGAGTTACTTTCTGAAGGTCATAGATAGGCTAAAGTCCTAGACCAGATTATATTATTCTTAATTCAATCCTTAGTTTGTTCTCTTTCCCTCTCCCTTCTCTGTCCTCAAAAATTGATAGCTACTTAGAAAGCAATAGTTGATTAGAAGACCTTTTGTTGTTTTCACTATAATAACCAGACTGGGTTTTCTGTTTTGTTTTTAGGCACAGGGTCTCTGTGTCACGCAGGCTGGAGTGAAGTGGCATAACCACAGCTCAATGTAGCCTCCAACTCCTGGGCCTGAGATCTTCCTGCCTTGGCCTCTCAGGATGCAGGAATTACAGGCATGAACCATAGCACCCTAGCCCTACATTGTTTTATATGGTAGTAAAATCTAGGATTTAAATTACCATTGTCATCCAAATCTGTGGATCTGTGAATTGGGTTTTCTTTTTTGGGAGCTGACAGTGGTAAAGCTCTGTTGTATCTGTTAAAAATATACACTTTCCCCACTTAAACCTGGGTAGAGTGCCGTGGCATTACAGCTCACAGCATCCTCCAACTCCTGGGCTCAAGCGAGTCTCCTGCCTCCGCCTCCCAAGTAACTGGGACTACAGGCGCCCGCCATAGTGCCTAGCTATTTTTTTGTTGTTGTAATTGTCGTGTTTGGCAGGCCTGGGCTGGGTTCAAACCCACCAGTTCTGGTGTATGTGGCTGGCTGAGCTAGAGGTGCCGGGCTGCTTATATTGTTTTTTAAGGAAAATAATGTATATAAGTTAAAATAAAATGGACATCTGTAGTCCCAGCTATAAGAGTTGGAGGTTGCTGTGAGCTGTGATGCCACCACCCTCTACCAAGGGCGACAAAGTGAGACTGTCTCAAAAAAAAAAAAAAAAATAGTTAAAATATAAGTTCCTTGAAGGCAGGAACTTTGTCCTATTTTTTTTTAAATCCCAGAACCTATACTTGTTTACATCAGAGCTCAGTAAATGTTTGTTGAATCTTTCTCTTCATTAAACTAGAATGAAATCATAGAGGTCTTTATTCTATCAATTCTTGTATTTTTTTAATGCTATTTCATTAGCTTTCTCTTACATGACTTTCAGATTGGAGATGAAACAGAACCCCAGCTCAGCACCTGTGGCT